GGCAATGATAATTACCTATTAATTGTCATTTAAGTGAAATTACTGAACTTAAATATACAAGCTTGATAAAAATGGTCATTTTAGAAGAAAATTTCAAATGGCATTTAGAGGCTTTTGCATCTGAACTCTTCATATATTTATTACATATTTATCAATTAAAATAAAATAAAATATAAACTAATAAATCAGTTTATATTAAATTACCATGTTGTAATATCTAGAAGTCCAATGGATTATTTATTTAATTTGAGTTTGACTCAAAACCAAACGATAAAATTATTAATGACAAATTTACACGGCACGTCTGACATTAGTGCGTTGAATGATGCATTAAATTGACAGTAAAAAGATTTATCATGTTACGAAACATTATCAAAAATATTAACTGTTTTCAACACTGATAATAATCATAAATGTTTGTTGATCATCAGATCCTCATATTAGAGTGATTTCTGAAGGGTCATGTGACACTGAAGACTGGAGTAATGATGATAAATTCAGCTTTGATCACAGGAATAAATTACACTTTACTATATATTCACATAGAAAACTGATGATTTACATTATAATAATATTTCACTGTTTTACTGAATTTTCTATCCAATAAACGCAGCTTTGGTGAGCACAAGAGACTTTTGACCGGTGGAGCCGTTCTGCTTATAAACTGTGTGTTAATGAGTCAACTGTAAGCATCTTGGGATCAGGATGTGCAACTCCCCCTTGTTTCTCAGGAACACTTCGTGTAAACACTGTAAACCTGTCCACTGACTGACAGGAAAACACATCTATATACATCATGCCGGAAATGAGCAATGGGGTAAAAATCAGGCACTGAAGACGAAGCAGCTTCACAGACGGGAGACGTCTGCGTGTGTCGAGCCGCGGGCTGGGCGACCTCTTGACCTCCTCCCCTTTGACCTTTGACCCGCAGCCGTGTGTATGAGATATGTGCGATTCCCAGTAAACAGCTGTGTATAAACCAGCTCCAGATGCGGGGAAGTGACGGCTCAAACGTCTTTAATCAGTAAAGCTCAGCACGGGTAAATTCAGTGACACTTTTAATGCAACACATTATGCATTTCAGAGCCAAATCTATGATTTCAAGACTAAAGTCATAATATTTTGGAGAGGAATCTCATTAATAAGTCTTACCAGTGTTATTTTAGTTTCATTATAGTTGGAGATTATAGTTTTTGTTAAAATTTTTAATCAGTTTTTATTCTTAAATTTTCTGTTTTCATTTTTTTTTTAAAAATTAGTAATCATGTTTTTGTGATTTTTATGTCTATTTTTATGGACCTATTGTATGTATATATTTCTTCAAAAAATTATAATTATTTATATATTTTTTTATTTTAATTTGAGTGTCAGTTAAAATTAACTATTATATAAATAATGAATAATGTTGTTAAAGTAATACAATTGTGAGAAATATAATCTATAAATATTGTAAATTGTAAATTATTATGCATAAGAAAGTATACAGTAGGAAAGTCACATGCGTACATATATATATATATATATATATATATATATATATATGATGTAATAAATAAATATAAATAAAATATAATATTTTATTAATATTAATATTAATACAGAATACTAAAATAACACTGCAGTGTTTTTCAAGGATAGACCAAATGTCACTTCTTTAATAACATATCTTTATTAAATAAGTGATCAATCAAAAAAAATAAAGAGTTTATTTGTTACAGTGCTTTTTGCAATCCATATCGTTTTACAGAAAACGCTTGTTTCATAGTTACAATTTAGGAAGAAATCAGTCATCAGTGATCATTGGTATAATTGATTTCCACAAACGGTTTGAAGAGAAATGAGTGAGTAACAATAGCAAAGCTTGTCTGAGCAGGCGCCGCTAATAAACCGAGCTCACATCAGCTGTCAAACTCAGATGAGCTCACGATACAAGCCCCTGCAAGCCTCACACACACACACACACACACACACACACACACACACACACACACACACACACACACACACACATCAGAGTCAGTGTGAGCAGAACCGCAGAGTCATATACTGTAAACACACTCAAAAACTCATGATAACACCAACTCACGAACACACAAACACAAATTCACGAACACACAAACACACAAATTCACGAACACATGAACACGCGAACACAGGAACTCACGAACACATGAACTCACGAACACACGAACTCACGAACACACGAACTCACGAACACAGGAACTCACGAACACACGAACTCACGAACACACAAACTCACGAACACAGGAACTCACGAACACAGGAACTCACGAACACATGAACTCACGAACACATGAACTCACGAACATATGAACTCACGAACACAGGAACTCACGAACACACGAACTCACGAACACATGAACTCACGAACACACGAACTCACGAACACACGAACTCACGAACACATGAACTCACGAACACATGAACTCACGAACATATGAACTCACGAACACAGGAACTCACGAACACAGGAACTCACGAACACATGAACTCACGAACACAGGAACTCACGAACACAGGAACTCACGAACACATGAACTCACGAACACACGAACTCACGAACACACGAACTCACGAACACAGGAACTCACGAACACATGAACTCACGAACACACGAACTCACGAACACACAAACTCACGAACACAGGAACTCACGAACACAGGAACTCACGAACACATGAACTCACGAACACATGAACTCACGAACACATGAACTCACGAACATATGAACTCACGAACACAGGAACTCACGAACACACGAACTCACGAACACATGAACTCACGAACACAGGAACTCACGAACACACGAACTCACGAACACAGGAACTCACGAACACAGGAACTCACGAACACAGGAACTCACGAACACATGAACTCACAAACACATGAACTCACGAACATATGAACTCACGAACACAGGAACTCACGAACACATGAACTCACGAACACATGAACTCACGAACACATGAACTCACGAACACAGGAACTCACGAACACAGGAACTCACGAACACATGAACTCACGAACACATGAACTCACGAACACACGAACTCACGAACACACGAACTCACGAACATATGAACTCACGAACACAGGAACTCACGAACACACGAACTCACGAACACATGAACTCACGAACACAGGAACTCACGAACACACGAACTCACGAACACAGGAACTCACGAACACAGGAACTCACGAACACAGGAACTCACGAACACACGAACTCACGAACACAGGAACTCACGAACACATGAACTCACGAACACATGAACTCACGAACACATGAACTCACGAACACACGAACTCACGAACACACGAACTCACAAACACAGGAACTCACGAACACACGAACTCACGAACACATGAACTCACGAACACATGAACTCACGAACACAGGAACTCACGAACACACGAACTCACGAACACATGAACTCACGAACACACGAACTCACGAACACACAAACTCACGAACACACAAACTCACGAACACACAAACTCACGAACACACGAACTCACGAACACACAAACTCACGAACACACGAACTCACGAACACATGAACTCACGAACACATGAACTCACGAACACATGAACTCACGAACACACAAACTCACGAACACACAAACTCACGAACACATGAACTCACAAACACACAAACTCACGACCACACGAACTCACGAACACACAAACTCACGAACACACGAACTCACGAACTCAAGAACACACGAACACACAAACTCACGAACACACAAACTAACAAAATCTGCTGAATCTGACGAGGTAAAGCTGAACTTGTGAACTGGTGACACATTGAGGAATGCTGGGAAAAGAGAAGAGTCTGCATTCCTCCTTCTCCCACACTTCCACCCCCCCCCCCCCGCACCCCCCACACCCCCCGGTCAAGCCGGAGAACTCACTCAGGCTCGGCTGAAGCGCAGATAAAGCTGCTCAAACAACATTCAACACAACCTCTTTTAAAGAACATGAATGAATCAATGAATCAATGAATCAATGAAGCAAGCAGTATAGCTCTTTCATATATACTACTGTACACACAACACGCTTTAAAATCATATCAGGGAATCTCTTCTCAACCACTGAGTGAACACACACACACACCTTACTAGCGTAGCGGGCTCTTTCTGTCAGGGACTCGCTGGAGAGAATCACAAGTCAGAGACACACTGATGTCACTCATCACCATTGGATTCCAAAGCAATCTTAAAATTACAATAAATACTTTTTTGTTTTTGCTGAAATAAAATGTAACTTTTTTACATTCAACTACTTTTCTGTGAAATATATATATATATATATATATATACACGTTTATATAAAATCAATAATATTTTTTTTTATTTTCATGTATTATGTTTGTTCTATATTTTTTGTGCTGCAGAGGCTGTATTCATGAGCACAAAACTTATTTTCCATTTCCGGGACATAAAGTATACCAAGCTAATGTATGCATTTATTTATTAACACCAAAGCTGATGATATTGAGATGTAGTTATTAAAATATAAGTGATGTTTTAGCATCACTAACTTACTACTGCAGTATTTGTTATTATTTTGAATTACATTTTTTTTTTTACAATTTCTGTCGTTTAATGTTTTATTAATTTATTAATTTTGTTGTGTGTTTTGGCTTTTTTTTATATGTCTATATAGGTTTTATTAAGAATTAAAGTTAGAATAAAAACGTAAGTTTCGTTAAATAGCGATTTGTACTTTGCAAGTTTTGGGGAATCCTGTTTTTGTAAAAAATTTTGTAAAATAAAAAATAAATAAATAAATAAAATAAAAGGAAAAGGGATCATTTGTTTTGAAGATGCCACTTGGTCTGATATTTTTATAAATAAAATAAATAATTATATCCCAAAAACGTTTTTGTGAATCCTGAATTTGGTGGTTGTAGTTGGTGCTGAACTCACACACACACACACACACACACACACTGTAGATCAGCAGCGCTCACCTCGCATCGTGGTCTTCGTGGGCTCGGCGAACAGTGGGATCAGCAAGAGGTAGATGAGGTAGACGAAGGACAGCCAGTTGTACCGGAACAAACATGCTGTGGATAAAAAGAAACATGGGAAGAGAAAATGATGAGCTTGTTTATCTTTCATCTCCAGACTGCCATCAAAACACAGCAAATCAGACGCTTGTTAAAGTAAAGTCTTTAATTAGAGGGAGTGCTCTTCATATAAGCACTGAGATCTCGTGCATCCAGTGCATGTCAAAACAGCCTCGGGACACACACACACGCACACACACACACACACACACACACACACACACACACACAGAGAGAGAGAGAGAACTGAATCTGTAACTCAGACATTTCTACATTCCAGCGGATCCACCGATCGACTTTCCTCGACGTCTGTGCCAAAACTTGCACAGATCATGTTCAGATAATCTCGACGCAACTTTAGACGGGCAATTATCTCAGTCGCCCATCAATCAATCATCTCTACACACACACCGTCCCCGCAGGGCCTTCATTCAGCAGTGCAGTGTGTTATCTCAGGAACTGGCTGTTTCATATTCAGGTAAATCAAATAAAGGATTAAATTAAATTAAATTAAATTAAATTAAATTAAATTAAATTAAATTAAATTAAATTAAATTAAATTAAATTAAATTAAATTTAATTTAATTTAATTTAATTTAATTTATTAAATTAAATTAAATTAAATTAAATTAAATTAAATTAAATTAAATTATTTGAAAATGGATCATTTGTTTTGAAGATGCCACTTGGTCTGATATTTTGATTTAAAGAAATTAAAATAATAATAATAAAATAAAATAAATAAAATGAAAAATAAATAAAAAATAATTAAAATAATTGGGAAAGGGATCATTTGTTTTGAAGATGACACTTGGTCTGATATATTCATAAATAATAATAATAATAATAATAATAAATAAAATAAATAAAATGGAAAAAATTTAAAAAAAATGTTAAATTATTGGAAAAGGGATCATTTGTTTTGAAGATGCCACTTGGTCTGAGATTTTGATTTAAAAAATTTAAATAATAAAATAAAATGAAAAATAAAATAAAAAACAATTAAAAAAATTAAATTAAATAATTAGAAAAGGGATCATTTGTTTTGAAGATGCCACTTTGTCTGATATTTTGATAATAAAATTAAATAAAAAAATTAAATGGTTTTAAAAAGTGTAGAAAGGGATAATTGGTAAAAAAAAAATTATAAAATAAAATAAATAAAACTTGAAAAAGTTAAGATGCCACTTGGTCTAATATTTTGATATCGATATTTTGCAATGAAATAATAGAATTAGAATTAATAGGATGTGAATTAATATTATAATATTTAATTAATAAATGTGTGGTATTAACAATCCAAAAAAATGTATACTGACCTGAACAAACCCAACCACTTTTGTAAATTAGCCTGAATTAAACAAGACGTTCAGTTCAATCAGTGTGAGCGAGGACATCCAGAGCCAACGACTCGCTTTAACATCACATGCACTCCTTCTGGGTCTCTGAGGACGTGTTTTCCCTAATGCTAAAGCAAAATGAGCTAAAGGGAAGGACAATTTGCTTCGGTTTGTCTCATCTGAAGCCACATCCTGGCTTTCCCGAATCTGGGAATGAAACATGTTTGAACTGTAAAGGGGCGAGCTGTTCTCGGGCCTCTCGTGGACCGGACCCGACCGCAAGAGAACCGGCGTCTGACTGCAACCACGACCAGATCCAGCTCTATTCTCGGAGTAAAGATCATGTCACCACGCCATCATAACAATATTTTACGTTTGTGATCATTTTCAACAAATGACTCACAAAATATAGATAAGTCACATTCACTCTCGAATGGAGAAAAGGCCCGTTTTAGGATCATTTTCCATAATAATTAAACACAATTCCCCAGAGACTTCACAAGATTATGCGACCATTCAAAAGTTTGGGTTCAGCAAGATTTTGGACATAATATCGATATTCAGCAAAGACGCATTAAATTGATCAAAAGTTCCAGTAAAATGTTACAAAAGATTCTATTTCAGATAAATACTGCTCTTTTGAACTTTATTTTCATCAAATAACCATGAAAAATAAAATCTATTTTTTAAAAGCTGTTTTCAACATTGATAATAATCATAAATGTTTGTTGATCATCAGATCATCATATTAAAGTGATTTAAGGATCATGTGACACTGAAGACTGGAGTAATGATGCTGAAAATCACAGGAATAAATTACACTTTACTGTATATTCACATAGAAAACTGATGATTTACATTATAGCCTAATAATATTTCACTGTTTTATAGTATACACAGCCTTGATGAGTAGAAGAGATGCCTTCTTGAATGGTGATATTTTGGGGGGACATGTTCTTAATCGTGAAAATAATTTGATATAAAAGACCAGATTAATCTGAGGACTGGCTCAAAACTGGACTTTGCGAGAATACGTCCTACACATTCCCAGTAAAGTATACGGCGCTGTACACACAGTTTGTGCTGTGAGGAACGCTGTGTTTCTAAGCTAACATCCGCTGGGTTTCTGAGCTCAGGCTGGGGGATTTACACAATATTTAGTCAGTTTTAGATTTCTGCACACACAGCGTCCAAATGAGCGGTCGTTGCCTCATTGTTTGCTGGTGTGGATTTTGAAAATGATTATTTTACCGAGTCTCAGTTTATGGTGTTAGCGGGATTAGCTGTCCATTAACACATTTCCCAGATGGCAACTTCACATTGGCAGCGACGCGAGGTGCCAGAGCCGTAATCTTAGGACACACGGAGTGTGTTTCGAGCGAGAGCGATGGGCTTTCGGCCATCACAAACACACACACCGCCCCTCAGATCAACTCAGGTTTATTTTCCTTTGCCGCGCTTCAAAAACTGCCACTCATTAGCCGTATAGCGCTAGCATGAGCGCTGCCGATGTGTGTGTGGACATCAGATTAGCATCTCACAAAAGCATTCTGGGATTGAACAATGCTATGTTTTTTTGTATATGTGTGATGCTCTGTCTCTGTTTTTAGGGTGACTGTGTAACATTCTGTCAAGGGTCGGATGAAAAATAGCCTCTTGGGTTAATTCTGGCACGTTTACACTTGTTTATTAATGTGCATTGACCCTGTAAATAAATATTTATTATTATTTTATTTTTTTTATGAGTTGGACTGTGATTGTAATTGTTTCAGACTGGTGTTTAAACCTCGCCGCTGTGATTTTGTTTTAGTGTGACGTTATTGTTTTAATCTGGGTCTTATAAACTAGGCTACATGGGGACAAATAATGGACACATGGAAACAATGCTGGCAAAATACAAACTAGCCTATATAATACTGAGTATGTCTATAACTGGATTGCCCATGTAGTGATGATAGCAGTGCCGTTTCAGATACTGAGGTGTAGAGAATAAAACTCGTATGGACAAGGCAATTCGTTTTCAACACAACTGACATCATCAGATATTGGAATTTATGAAATATAGGACCAATTAAATCAATCAACCAATCATCAGACACTAATAAATAAATAAAAATATTATGGAATAAATATATACAGTAGTGAAAATTTGAAGTGGATCAAAACCTTTAATCAAAGTTAGCCTATACTTTCTTGTCTAATTACAACTTTGATTAACTTTTTTAATCCACTTCAAGTGTTGACTACTGTGTGTGTGTGTGTATACATATATATATATATATATATATATATATATATATATATATATATATATAGGGAGAGAGAGAGAGAGAAATAAAGGGTGCATAAGTCATTGCCCCCCTATGTTAAATTCCCATAGAGTCAGGCAGATTTTTATTTTTAAAAGCCAGTTATTTCATGGATCCAGGATAATATGCATCCTGATAAAGTTCCCTTGGCCTTTGGGATTAAAATATCCCCATATCATCACACATCTTCACCACACCTAGAGATTGGCATGGTTTTACTTCGGTTAGCCTAATAGCTGGTTTGATTTGCATTGAAAGATGATCTTATGGAAAGTACCCCATGCCAATCTCTAGGTGTGGTGGAAGGTGTGTGATGATGTGGGGATATTTTAATCCCAAAGGCCAAGGGAACTTTATCAGGATGCATATTATCCTGGATCCATGAAATAACTGGCTTTTAAAAATAAAAATCTGCCTGACTCTATGGGAATTTAACATAGGGGTGTCCTGACTTATGCACCCTGTATTTTAAGGGAAAACATTTATTTATTTATGATACATTATTCATTCACAAAGAAAATTGGTGTACTTAAAGGTTGGAGTTTTCCTCATTTTTTTAATTAAGGCATTAAGATCAATATCCAAAAGATGATTTTTTATTCCTCTTTTTAGGCAACTTTAGCATGGGTGCCAAAACTTATTCATACCACTGTATTATATACGTAGACTCATTACATGCAAAGTGGGATATTTCAAGCCTTTATTTGTTATAATTGTTTGTGATGATTATGGCTTACAGATATGAAAACCCCAAATTCAAAATTAGAATATTGTGAAAAGGTTTTCATATCTGTAATCCATAATTATCAACATTATAACAAATAAAGGCTTGAAATATCTCACTTTGCATGTAATGAGTCTATATAATATATTAGTTTCACCTTTTAAGTTGAATTACTGAAATTAATGAACTTTTGCACCATATTCTAATTTTTCAAGTGCCACCTGTATGTCTAAGAGTACTCTGCTGAAAGGAAATTTTAAAAATACAGAATTTAACATAATCTTAATGAATCATGTGTAATCAGATTAATGTATTTAATGGAGGAAATATCCATCACATGATGTCAATCAAATGCCAAATATCACAAACACCCGAGTCCTGAGTCTGGATGTCCGTCCTCAGCGCCGTGACTCTGGGCTTCGGTCTTAAAACAATGTAGGAGAAAATCTGCAAGCCCTCTGGCAGCGGGACAGACCACTGAGACCTTTGATTTAATGAGTCACTCACCCGAGCTTAAAGCCAGAAATGAAAATATCCCAAACCACTAACCATTTGATAATGGGGTCCAGTCTGACGGAGATGTTTAGCTCTTTTGTTCGGTCAGTTTGCGTAGGATGCAAGACG